TTACGCCACACCCCATCTGGACCACCCTCGCGCGACCCTCCGCGGTAAACGCATCTCATATAGCCCATAGAGACCTCTCACGACGTTCTCACTACTCGCCAGTTGATTCAACCTCGATCTTCCCCCCCCCCCCCCCGTCACCATCGCGTTTCGTCCTCTCTTGCATTTTTCCGTGCGAGGGAGGCGAAGAGTCGATATATAAGCAGTCGTTTCGTAAGGAATTCGTAAGCCGGAAGAATCTCTCGTCCCCTACAACACCATATGGTACCAACGAGCATGGATATATCTCGATGTTCGTTGGTAGCGCAAATGAGAATGAGAATTATTTGACATGTAAATAAAACACGTCACTCACGTGCAGACAACTGCATGACGAATGATTGGATATCACTGCCAATTTCGAAAACAATTGGTAATCAATGCATAATTTTTATTCGCATTTTAATTTTTCTTTTATGTCAGACATTGAATAATTTTAAATTTAACTTTGTGCAATTTTTTGTTTTATTTTTTCTCTTTCCATTTCACTTCCAATAATTAATTAATTTGCTGAATATAATAAAACGAAACAAAAGAACTAATTACTTCTTAAAGTATCTTTAATTTAATTCATAAAAGGAAAATAATTTAATTCATAAAAGGAAGCGATATCGAGATTAAACTTGAAAAAGACGTAAAACTGGGTCATTATCTTCATGTCATTATCTTCATGTCATTATCTTCATGTCATTATCTCGAACGAACAAAGAGAACAATTATGGAAACAGTCACAATGACGATAATCGAATCATAAAAAGCAATAACGATTTAAATAAATGAGTAATAAAGAGTGTGATATTGATTCATCGATTTGTCAAATTATTATGTAATTTGTAATTTATCAAAGTTTCCGAAAGGAATAATATCGCTGAATAATGTCGAGAGTAAATTGCATTAATTTGTTATCATGTAAAAAGCTTGATTTTCTTCAACTTTAGTTTCTATTTAGATATTTAGATATTAGATTTAGATATTAATCATAGCATTCTACGAGTTTCTCCGTCCTTTTAGGAAAATGTGAAATTCTCTTAATAGTGAAATAAATGCAAATGCTACTTAAGAATAAGTTGCACACCGTCTACAGATTACGGTACATTGCTTTTATGCATTCGCTCGTAGATTTGCAATAATATTATTTATTCTTAAAGTAAGAACAAGTGTGATTTTTAATCTCTTTATTGTTGTTTCAAATCTTTGGTTTCCAATCATACTCACACACACACACACACACACACACACACACACACACACACACACACACACACACACACACACACACACACACACACACACACACACACACACACACACACACATATATATATATAAAATCAAATAATGAACATGATATAATTAGATACCCGTCATTGATAATTTGACCCGTTGAATAATTCATAAATGCATGATACGATACATATATTACAAAGTAAGATTGAAATTAGTTCAATCAAATCATTTCGAAAGAAAGAATCAAATCTAAGTGTCTTTGTCCACAGAAGTAGCAAAAAGAACATAGCAACTAGTGATTATTTTTAAAAACGACGCTAATCGCAATCGCGGTAAGTCGCGATAAAAATGCTGCAAATATCGCTAATCTGAGAAAAATGTGAGAAAAGAAAATGCACTGTTGTTTCCTGCGAATGGGGAGGAAAGTGAAAGAGAAAGATCTGCGTCTTCGGGAAAGATGAGTCAGATACGCGATGGTTATCGGCAAGCTGCCTTACCTGAGCCGTTGAGCACACGAGACCCATGATGAGATTCTGCCGCTGTTCGAGCTACCGATGGAAGAACGGGGCGAAAAACTGGAAAAGCGCGAGGACCTCGATAAGATCGCGATAAAATGTCGCGGGGAGGACGAGATGCGATGCAAAGAAACGCGACAACAATAGTGCACTGCACACTGTCGCTCGCGGGCAACTTCAGACGATCAGCTGACCGAGCGACGTCACGCGCCGCCTCGCGGCCAACTTCGCGCTACTCCGGCGCCACCAATTGATTGGCCGGATCGCCGTGGTAGAGCAGCAGTATCACGGCGCAAGCAGTGCTGGTAACACGTTCGATCACGGTCGCGCGTACCGGAGTGTTCTGTGACGTGTGCGTGTCCGCGCGTTGTCATCACCGCTAAAAAAAAAACAGAAAGAGAGAGAACGAGAACGGAGTAACGCACACGCCGATGCCGCATACTCGATTGCAAGTGTAAGCGATCCATTGTTTCGATTACTGCGAACGAACTATTGACTACCGCATGCTTGTTGTTTTATTGCATACGACGCCTGAACGCATTAATCTCTCGGTGAATAATTACAATTTTCCCGAAACGGAGCATTGCGACACGAGAGACGTGTAAGATCGCTATTGACGTGCAATCAATATCGAGGTGTCGGCCAATCGAGGACTAGCCCCGATTTTGAGACGTGAATAGAAATAATTATGATAATACTAATAAAATATCTGCAGCTATGTGTGTGTGTGTGTGTGTGTGTGTGTGTGTGTGTGTGTGTGTGTGTGTGTGTGTGTGTGTGTGTGTAGTAT